CAATACAACTGCAAAATAAGTAAAACATGTTTTTTCCATCATGCTTAATGGAAGAAGCTGTTAAACAATCTTTTAAAATTTTATACTAAAAAGAAAATCTGGCTTTTCTAAATTTTACAGATAGTTTTGGATTTCCTACCTTTTCTAGAGATAAAAAACAATCAATATTACTTGGTTTTTTTTAAATAGGGGGAATGAGAATTAAGTGAAAGTAGACTAAGGCAAAAGCAAAGTAATTTCTCATGCTGATAGGCTTGGCTTTTGATTTTATCTTGGCATGATGTGCGAACCCAGCCATAGTGGTTTGTAAATCTAGATCAGCGGTCACCAAGCAATGGTCTGCAGACCACTGGTGGTCTATGAGAAAATGTTGGTGGTCCTCAGAAAAATTATTTGCATTTTTTTTTATTGCACTAAATCCTTTTTAAAAAATCGTTTAGTGGTCAACGGGATTTAAAATTATGAATTTAGTGATCCCTGAGGTCCAAAAGGCTGGCGACTCCTGATCTTGACTATAGTTGTTGTGTGATGGAGGCCAATATAGAGGCCATTATTTAGCCAATGGTTAAAACCAAATTGATTTTATTGTTTACTGGATTAATTTTGTCTGTACTATCCATTTTATTTAAAGTTTTTAGCTGTTTTTCTATTTTTTCTAATTTTGTGTACTTCTCAGATTTCATTGGAGTTAGGCTGCCAATAAATTTAAATAAATTAGATAGATAAAATAAAAAGAAGTGAACTATTCACGGGACCAATCTTGGTCAATATACAATGCATCAGATTTGGCATCCACTTCAGACTCAAGGCCTGAGTCTAAAGCACCTTACTTTAAAAAAAAAACTTTTATAAAGGTACAATAGTTTGCTGAATATGAACATTTGAATTCTGCACCACAAGGACCTCTAATACACTAGAAGGTCACAGAGATGAGATGGGTGGTGTAGAAATTTGATAAATAAATAAATAAGGTGGTTATAATGGAAATATAATTTGAATGGCTTTATAACGATGTCATAATAGGTCAATGTGGCTACCTGTCTTTGATCAGCATCAAATACTGATTCAGAAGGGAAGTTCTAGTTCAAAAATAGGTTAAAATTCAAAATTGATCTAGGAACAGAACGCATATATATCCAAACATTAACTATAGCATTTCTAGAAAATACTTTCTTCTTCTGTGTTTTTCTCTCACAGAACTGCAAACTTTTCTAATTAATCCTCCAGTCTTCTTTCCCACAAAGCATACTCATCCTGCCAGCCATCTTCGCTAGCCTTCTATCTTCATGCCAAACGAACCTTCCATGCTGTTCTTCCACCTTTCTGCCCTATCATGGCTGAAAGGTCTCTTTGTCTCCATGGTAACCACAGGTAAGCCACTGTGTTGCAAGACTAGAGGGAAATAAGGCTTTGCCAACAGACTGCCTATGGTCCTAACATCTTGAGGAAAATAATGATCACAGAAGGGCCAAACATACATGCTAAAGGATATTTTTGTGCATCTCCCCACCAAATTATTTACATATATATGTATATTTTTTCTTAACTGTTATTGTTCAATGCTACACAACTGCTAATAGACAAAGGTTCTGGAACTTGGACTTCTACTACTGGCCTTACATATCTCACCAGGAGAATCAACTTTAGGAACCCTAGGCAATTCCAATACCTTATAAGTAGTGTGTCTCATTCCCCAAAAGAAATGAATAAAAAGGTAGTTAAACAGACAGTATTTTTTTGGGGTGTATAGATGAAAAGAATGTATTTAAGAGAACTACTGAAGAATAGAGCCATGCTGCTGGTCCCATCTCCAGAGATTCAAGTATTAGGGAAGAATTACCCATAAAGGTGGCTATCTGCATTCGGAAGAGTAGCACTACAGAACAGATGAAAAGAGAAAACTAAAATGTACATTTTTTGTAACGGTCACTAGCATTTCCTTTGAACAACCCAGCAACTCATTTGCCTTATAGCAAGAAGATGAGGTTTATTCTCTCTTCAGCAGGAAAATTGGAGGAAAAAAGATAGTGATTTAAAATATTATTCTAAGTCAGTTTCTTCCAACTTGGTGTCTTCCTGATTCGTTTGGGCTACAGTTTCTAAAATTCTCTGCCATTTTGGCCAATACATATAGAGAGTACCAAGCTGGACAAAGCAGTTCTAAATAATTTTTGAATTTTACACATAAACAGAATACTATGCCTTTAGTAAAATAATTCAATACTTGATGTTTAGTTAATCTTCATAGATTTCATGACAGATTAAAAAAAATAAAAAGATACATTTAATTAAAACAGCCATGCAAGTTTATTTTTTACCATTTAAATGTCAATAAAGTAGGTCCCAGAAGCAAAACAATGATTTTATGGATGGGGGTGGTGGAGAACTATTCGTTGGTGTACTTATCAAAAGCTCTTTTACAATGCCCAATTCCAAATTTCTGGGTAGGATATAATAATAGAACAGTATAAACCAGGCATCCCAATTACCTCAAATTATACTTGGCTGGAATTTCTTAACAGTGGTTTTCATGACACGTAATAAAGTTTATGATGCAACATTTATTTTTTAATCCTACATTATGCTTTCTATTCAAATGAATTATCTAAGCCAGTGGCCCCCAACCTTTTTTGTGCCACGGCCCAGTACCGGCATCACAAAATGATCCGTGGCCTGGTACTGGAATCAGCACGCATGGCAAGGCGAGCCGAGCCGAGCCGAGCGACCAGCCAGCCGTCCCCCGCTTCTCCCCGCCACCTTCAACTCCTCCTTTGTACCTGTGTCGATGGGCTTCGGGACGGTCGCTCAGCTCGCCTTGCCTTGGGTGCTGAAAGAATCCTTGCACCTTAGTTTTGTTCGAAGCCGCCCCCCCCTTCGATGAAACTAAGGCGCGAGGATTCCTTCAGGACCCAAATGCCGCTTTCCAACCGGAAAAGCTCACCGGAAGCACTTTCTCATCAAAACAAGATGGCGGTGCCCAGCAAACCGGCAGCCCAGTAGAAAATGTTCCACGGACCGGTACTAGTCCAGGGCCCGGTGGTTGGGGACCCCTGATCTAAGCAATATGGAAGTCTTTGCAGAAAGAAATTACAAAGTCAAATGGTCCCTAAGGTCATTCACCCTTATGACCCACTACAAAAAGACTCACTCCATCCCATTCTCTGAGACCCCACAGCTCTTGGACCTCCTCCCCACACACCCATCACCTATCACTTATATTTTGAAGTTCTTCAGACCTCACTGTAGGGCAGGCCATGTGCCCCTGGGCCATTCATAGGCAATCTGAACATGGCGAGCATTTTGTCCCACCCGCTTGTGGGCTAGGACAAAATGGTGGCTGCCAGACAAACGGCTTCATTTTCTGCCTTTACGAGGTCTACATAGCATTGCAGATGCTACCTACTTTGTGGGTAAGACAAAATGGCAGCTGCTTCCGGAACTGCTCCATGTGGCTGCAGAAAAGAACAATCCATTCCAGTGCTCTGGAAGGCCTCATAGGCCTTCAAAAGTTAAGTGAGAAGGAGGGTGCTTGGCCTGATGGAGTGGGAATCAGGCCTAAGAGTGGGAAAAGGCCTATACGGACCCAAGGGCAGACGAGCCTGGGTCTATATTAGGTCTCCAAGGGCCTACCTCACCCAAGGCACCCCCTACTCCACTTAATGACCCAGACATTTAATAATTCTTGGGAGAGCAGAAAGACCTTCACCTAACGACCATTGGGGACATACTGGATAATTGCAGTCATATCTTCAGGACTATATGAATATAGCTTTGTCCTCTGTCAAAAACAATTCTTCAAAAATCAGCTAGATACATGCTACTAAATTCAAAACAGAAGGCAAGTGTTGAGGTTCAGCAGGTTTTTAAATGGATGAGAGAACAGCATTTCAATACCCTACATAGTTTTCTCCTTACAAAATGTATGCAGGTTAACAATGAATGCCTAAATAATTGCAGATGATACTACAAAGTATACAGTATTATAATTCAAATATTTCCTGTTTTTGTTAATATAATTGCACAAAAGACATCTGAATATAATCATTCTGAACTCTATATTAGCTCTCTATTTTGCAAATATTGGAGAACTCATTGTGGAGAGCCTTCACGCTAGAAATTAGGAGATCGTGAGCTCTAAGTGCCATCTTGGTCACAAAGCCATCTGGATGATCTTGAGGCAGTCACTTTCTTTCAGTCCTAGGAAAGAGGCAAGGGCAAACCACTTCTGAAAAATCTTGCCAAGCAAACTGCAGGAATTTGTGATGCAGTCTTTGAGAATTGTAAAACTGAATGGAAGAAAAGCAATCTCAAAGATAAGTATACAGACCCTGTCAGACTACCCCTGTCAGTTGAACAACAAAGTACATATGGAAATTTTTGAAAAATTAGAATAATATAAATGGAATAGAAATATTTTCAGTCAATGAAATAAGTATGTGCTTTCATTCAAACATGGGATGCTTCTTTGCACAATCACAAATTCTCCTTTATTCAGGTCTCCAAGCTGTTTGCTCAATACTAATGTGGATCAATAAATATGGATAGAACACCCTTTACAAGGTACAGTTGGGAAATTGAGAACGCAGAAGCAAGAATTAATCTTAATCATGAGATCAGAGCATCAATCTAGATTCAATAAGGAAAAAAAAGGTTATGACTGGACAGATTGGACAAAATGACAGCTGTTATGATTTTGCATAACATCTGTCAACATGTTTAAAATTAACGCATCTTTTCCTGCAATTGTGGAGCAGTAGTCATGTGAATCCCAGAAGAAAACAAGAGCTTCCTTAAAGAGTTACTGCTCTAAAGATGAGGATACAGATTTTAAAATGCATCTGCTGTCAATAAAAGAAGTTAAAACTTTCCTGGTCACATGAAATGTTGGTGTGGTAAAGCTTTGAAATTAAAATAAAATAAAATACAAATAAAGCCTCTAGAGCCGTTATTCTTCTCCAGGAAGGGTATAAGTAAGCAAATGTAGAACATTAAAGACTCACCTGGCTGTTTGGGTCACCAAGTAAGTTACATATATGGGGCACAATCTTGCTCAAGGTTAAACTCTGAGCTCCAGATCTAAAATAGAAGAAGACAACAAAAAGCAAGAAAGCAACATATCAGCTAAGTAATTTTTCAAAGCAACTGAACACAGGTATAACTTAGGCATAATAGTCCAACTTACGCATTAAGAGTTGCAATAAGGCAGAGGCAAATTCCTTCTCTTGTCCGGAAATTCTTATGTTTGAATCCTCCCAAAATTCTGTCCCACACGTACTGTCACATAGATATAAGAAAGTAAGAGGCAGGAAAACATCCTAAATGAAGATTGGTTGCATCTGCTTGATCCAGAATATCCTATTGTCACGAGACAAGTGTGATGGGGTTGCACAAATAACGTGCATATGTGGATGCATACGTGAATGAAGACAGCGTAGGCAAGTGGAACTAATTTAACTATTGAAAAATATTTTAGAAGTTTATTTTTACTGGCAGGGAATATACTGATATGGCCTCCTTCCCATCATATTCATATATAAAGTGTCTAAAATAGGAGTGTCAAACTCGTAGCATCGCATTGTTGTCATGTGACATGTCACGACTTTTCCCCCCTTCACTAAAACGGGGTGGGCGTGGCCAGGGTGTGATGCATCCAGCCTGTTACCTCTTCAACTTGTATGCCTTTGATAGATACATAGCACCCATCCTATTTGAACAATAAAGTTTATTAGGCATAATAAAAATGTTCAATACAAATTGAACCTTCTTGTGAATGGTTTCCTTGGAGTAGATACCATAAGTTTGTACCCGATTGTTGTACATTTCCAAAACTCACCTGGGGACTAGAAGCTTGCTCCATGATTTTTAAGAGCAGGGCCTGATCCTGCTCTCGTACAGAGTCTTTTGAATCTCCCAGTCTGTCAATTAAACTAGGTAACACTGGAGACAAAAAGAAAGGCGGATCACAAAGGAGGATTCAAAAACACAGAGTTGACACTTCAGATCAACACTAAAATATGTCTACCTTACCAAGTGCCTTGTGGGGTGTTTTGGTAAGCTACTCATGTGGAAGAAATAGACATTTGCTTCAGACAACAGGCTGTGAAAAAGGCTGCCCTGTCATTATGTTTGCATATGCTGCTAACTTTTCAAGTATGTCCAATCATATTTATTTTCATGCACTATATTAATGGCTGCTGCTTGTAATTCCCCCATACAGGTAATGTTCACTTAATGACCAATAAATTAACCATTTGAATCAACCAAAAGTTTCTTACAACCTAACCCTGAAGTTATAATTGCAATACACACACCTGCAGTCATGTGACTGCATTTTAAGCACTTGGCAACCAGATCACATTTACATTAATGTTAATTAGTGACTTGAGGCTCTTTGGGACTCATAGGTCCTGCTACAGCAGTTGGAGGCTGTGGTTCTGGAGTGTGTGTTTCTAGCTTCTGCTGGTGCATCAGTTGTGACTCTAGCTGGAGTGGTGAGATTTTGCTACGGTGGCTGACATCCTCATTATCACCACTTGCTGATTTTTGAAACACACTCTACCTGGGGCTGTCTTTGAAAATCACCCGGAAGAATGCACTTGATTCAGGGTGCAGCAATCTGTATGCTAACCAGCGTTTGCCAGTGGGGACACATTATACCAATGTGTGGGAATCTGTATTGGTTGCTAACAGGCTCCTGGATACAATTTTAAAGTGCTAGCATTAACTTTTAAAACTGCTTGTTATCTGCAGGAGTAGATTCACTCATTTGAATTGACATGAGCAGTTCAGCCTACTTGGGAAGAAATTATTAATAGTGTCTGCTTTAAGGAATGTAAGGGAAAGTGCTATTTTTTTGTGCCTGCCTGATTGCTTTCTGGAAACTGAGCTTTTTCAAAGGGGACCTTGATTAGTTTAGTTTTATTCCATGCTTTCATTAGTTTTTGTGAACACTTATTTTATACTTTTGCTTGATTATATATTGTTTTTTTTATGTGTTAGAGTCCTTAAGGATTCAGCAATCTACACTGTAAATGTAAATAATAATTCAGTATCATCATTCATATATGAGAATCTTTCACAGATATTGATGTTGGCTTTTTTAAAAGATTTTTGTTATCCTGCTTTTATTACTAATTTAAGTAGCTCAGAGGGGAGAACATATCTAATATACCCCTTTCCTCTTATTTTCCTTACAACAGAAATACTATGAGGTGGGTTATGCAGAGAAACTAACTGGCCAAAGACAACCAACTCGCTGTCATAGAAAGTAGGATTAGAACTCACAATCTCCTGGTTTCTAGGACAACACCTTAACAATTACACCAAACTGGCTCTTCATGACTCCCCCAAGTCCTGTACAGAGCTCAAAGGTATATTATCCAATCAGCTGAAAACTAACATTAGGATTGATGCTGAGTCTATAATTTAATTCAAGTGGCATGCTTGTAAGGATTCAGGACCTAATCACCTTTTTTAAAAATGACATACAAAGGTGTGTCACATAAACTATGGGGTAACCATCAAACTGCATTTAAGGTTAGTATATTGTGTGAACCCAGCCTGCATATTACCAGATGTTCCTCAGAGAAAACTGTAAAAGCAAAAAAATTTAATAATAATAATTATCTAACATTATTACAATGCAAAGTAATTTCTGTGTTCATACCAATGGCAAAGTTCCTGGTTTTTTAAATTATTACAGGTTGCTGTTCCTTCTAGCTAACAAGAACAAGCAGGCCCACACATACGATTTTAGTTTCATCATAAAATAAACATAATTTGAGGGAAAGTTACCAAGGCCAGTACACCCTTTTTACCTTACCTGTGCCAATTTGAGCTTTAAATCTATCTTGGAGCCGTGACACCAGTGCAGATAAGATGTCCAAGCCCAGCAGGACAACCTAAAAACAACAACAGGATGTTAAAAAAAAGATGCAATCTCTGGATATGGAAAAGAAATATGAATATGAAAACAGTGAGTATGCAACCTAGACATTAAAACAGATATTAAAGGAATGGGCTCTCATAACTACCAAACTAGAAGGTTGTTAAAAGTTGCACTAACTTCCATTTGATGTTTAAAGGGATCTAGAGTTTTTTAGGTAACCAATGTTGTTGATGAGACTGAGTAATTAGGCAACTGCTATTGAAATAAATGAACCCAGTTCAACGACGAAGACAGAAACCAAGGTCCATTCTGATGCTATGCACCTTTATTGGAGTAAATCCTTCAATTCAGTTATCCAACTTTGCTCAGGACAGTAAATGTTCAATTGCTTATTCTGTCCGTACTTCCCATATACTTAAATGGCAGGTTGAGGATTCTAGATTACAGAATGATATTGAAGTTTTACGCTTGGTCATTTATTATGGATTAATCCATGTTGTAAGCCCTGAGTGGAGGAACGATGTCAGGTTATGTGGTGTTGTATTTTGTTTGTGGTTTCTTAGTTGTGATTCAGGAGACCTAGACAATATCTATTCTCAGAAAATGTAAATAAGTAGAACAGCTGCAAGCCACAGATTAATTTCCATAAAAGTTATCAATACTGTTTTAAAATAAGCTGAGTCAGGAGAAACATTATTCAAATTCATAAAATGGCAAATCAAACTATACTGAAGATGCACCACTTTGTAACCTGGAAGTCATTAATAAGCAAATTAACATTAACTGTTAAAAAAACTAGGGCCAAATATTGGATAAGTTGAAGTTGTTGACATGACTAACCAAAGGATTAGTCATTGAGAATTGGGCAGCATAAGTTTAATTAATGGATTGTGGATTTTGAATACATGCTGTTTTGAATCCAAATACATTTTGAATCCATACAATTATAATTTTGAATAAATTTAAGATGGAGGGGAGACCAATAATGCAGTATTTGCGTTTAATTTATTCCAACTCTTGACTTCTTTAATGCAATTACTATGAATGCATTGGTTTACATGTAATAAATTTAAAGAGCCAGTGAAAAATAACTTATGCTACACAATGAAGTGTAAGATGTAAACTTTTTCAAAATCACTTTTTAAAAATACTAAGTTTAAAAAAAAAAACTACATTCTATGAAGCTGTAATTTTAAAACAGACTTTATTCCTCCTGCAAAATGTTCTAACTAAAAAGCTAGGCATTCTTGGATTTGCAGCCACAACAAGGAACCAGACTGGAGAAGCATTTGCATGAAGCATCCTGAAAGGAAGCAAATCTAATATATATTTTAGAAAGCCATTAAGTACCAAATTTATGTGGTTCCCAGAATGTACTTGCTGCAGAATTCAGAGATAAAAAAGCCTCCACTTACACACTAAATTCCAAACACAGGAGGAATTTACATGCAGATCTCTTTTGTAACAAGAAGCTTACCCAAATAGGGCAGCCTTTCAAGGGCACTGGACTACACCTCCCATCATTCTTCTCTGTGGAAGCTGCAGTCTAATAGGGTGGGGTTGCGCCCGTTTGGAGAAAGCTGGTCTGTAACATTATTAAGGACTTCAACTAAAAAGAAAAAAATGATCAACCAAGCTCTAAACTCAACGAGGACACGTATAGGCATGCAGTCTGAGGAACCCTAGTAAAGAGAACGTAAAGGATGAATCCGCCCACCACCACCCCATAGCTAAGCAGGCGCGCCAAAACAAGATCTTCACAAGCGGAAAAGGGCATCGCTTCGAAGCTTAAGCCCGCCTCCCCGCTACGCTTCGTCGTAGCACCGCCCACTATGCAAAGTGACTGCTGCACGGCATTTTGGGTAACCTCCAAACTCACGAAGAGAGGAGCTGGAAAGCGGCTTGCTTTGCAAATACTTCAGAAATGGCATTAATCAACACGCCGTCCGCTGCAAAGCAGTCTAAGCAAGCAAACGCAGCTCACTATAATCTCGATGGGTTTCCCGTTTAGTTCCCCAGACCTCCGCCTGCGTAAAACCTCTCAACTATCCTTATCTTGGGGTTGCGCTACTGTTCAATGAACGTCTAGTGAGGACAGTACTGCTAACACCTACACAACACTTAAGCATCCTTGGGGTTTGTTCCCCACTTGAGGTGCAATTTTTGGAACCCTAATTTAAATATAACCCTAACGGGGGTATAAACCCATGAAATAATGTCAATGTATGTTGTACTTAGACGGAATTGTTTTTTTTAGGAGTGCTTTTCTTCAGTTGCCACCGGGTGGTGCTACAGTTTACATTGTAAGCCCGGAATAACGAAGTGAGGTGGTTTAAATCTTACAACTGCTGTATCCAAAAACAATCGTAGTTAAAGCTGCTTATTTCTATAGGTACAAGTAACATTTGAATTTTACAACTACTGTATCCTAAAGCAATCATAGTTAAGCTGCCCATTTCCATAGGTTCCATTTATTCAACAAAAAATCCAAACTGAGCCAAGAGCACAGAATCCCATACAAAGCCCCCACTTCAAAACGACTTCTTCCATCTATTTGATGCAGTGTCTTCAATCGCCAAAGGCATTTAACAAATCAAAAAAGTTAAAAAGCTGCTTGTAAAACATTAATAGATTGTTAAGGAAAGCAACTGGTTACTTCCCCCCAATCCTTAATCCTTCACTGTGTTAACATTTGTAGGGGACACCAAGATCAGGAAAGCTAAAGCAGCCTTATATTTGTTTTCAACTGTTTTATCAGCCTTGGACCAATCATCTTCCTTTAGGTAAAAGGTGGGGTTGAATCCCCCTGAGTCAGTGTTGACTGACTATGAATGCCTAGACAAGTCCCTGAGAATTTCTTGGCAGGATTTTTCAGCCTTGTCCTTGCTTCCTACCCAGGGCTGAAAGAGAACGACTGACCCAAAGTCACCCAACTGGGGCTTTGGGCCTAAGGAACAAGCTGGAATTCACAACCACCCGGTTTCTCGTCTGGTGCCATGACACCACTCCCAAGAATACCTTATGCCACCAGACTTGAAATTCTAGAACTAGAAAACCTTGAATTACGCAGTCTTCGGTCTGATTTAAGCATGGTATATAAAATCATACATTGCAATGTCCTACCTGTCAATGAATACTTCAGTTTCAACCATAACAACACAAGAACACACAACAGATACAAACTCAAGGTTAACCGCACCAAGCTTGACTGCAGGAAATACGACTTTAGCAACAGAGTGGTCAATGTCTGGAATACTCTACCCGACTCTGTAGTTTTTTCCCCAAACCCCAAAAACTTTAACCTTAGACTGTCTACTATTGACCTCACCCCTTTCCTAAGAGGTCTGTAGGGGGCGTGCATAAGCGCACCAACGTGCCTACCGTCCCTGTCCTATTGTTTCTTTTATTTTTCTTTTATTTTTCTTATATGTACTCATTTCATGTATTCATAATTATGTATACACTTTTACTTATCTCGTAAACAATTGACAAAAATAAATAAATCCAAACCAGCAAAGTGGAAAATTTAGGACCCCCACCCCTCCCAGATAGCAATATAAGAGGAAATATGTTGGATGTTTCTAACCAGGTGCCTTTAACTACTATAACCAAAGTGGCTGTCTTTTTAGGTAAAAACTCCCCTTATGTCAAACTGAATTCCTGGCAACATGGAAGTGTTCAATTCAGCCATCTTCTGGGACTTTTTTTCCCCCCATTCCCAGTCTAGATTAATCTTCTGAATCTCGTAGTGCTCTCTTATCCAAGTGCTAACTAGGTCCAATCACACTTAGCTTTTTTGAGATCAGCCTACTTTTGGCATGGGGCTGCCAACTGTTGCTAACTCTGCATTTCTACAAAGAGGAATCAAGTGATCGGCTTTGCAAGGAAGCAGAGTAAAATGTACGCTTCCCAGAGTCACTTGTTGAGATGGCAACTATAGAAATAAAATTTAATGCATGGCATACATACATAACCTTGCTCTTACAACCATCATAAGAACCCGATAACACAGTTTCTATTCTATTCATTTAAAGAAATAATACCTACATTTTAAACATTAATTGAGGAGTCCCTCATTTTTCCCCTTATTATTCCTGTATGTGTCCATTTTCAAATCTGGACATTGAGCAGATCCATCGTCTGGATTACCCTGAGAGATGAGATTTTGGATGCTCTCCTGTGGATCTTGCTAACTCCCTCACTATTGATGGGGCTGAGTTGGGGCAGTTTTGAAGGTTGGGAATTTAAGGTCCTGTAGTTGCTCAGGTCACTATTAAAAATCAGCAGAGAAGAGAAAGTGTGTTTGGTTTGGTCTGCTGACATCAGGGACCCCCGCAGGATCCCAGTCTCTTCAATGATCCTGCCCTAACAATTGCAAAGTACGGTCATTTTGAGGGACGTCTCATCTTTGAAACAGTCTCGAAGCCTCAACTGGAAAATGCTGTGGCCAAGTCGGTAAGCTAGATCACATAGCACCAGTCCTAACGCATGTTTTACCAGCTACTGGGAATCAATTGTCTTTTTCTAAGGCTTAAAAAAAAAACCTTCCCAGTTCCCCATTTGAGGATTTTCTGCTGGTCTTCTCTCCAAATAATAACCAGAGCTGATCCTGTTCAGCTTTTCAAGCTCAGTCAAGGTCAGCTACAGTATGTGCTACTTCATACGTTGTGTTTCGTACTTGTGAGTGTCACAACACCAAAATAACTGCCCGACTATTGTCACATTGCAACTATTACTGCAAAGTAATTCTGCTTGACTAAACTAAGTCTATGCAATTTGCACCATCAATTTGCACCACTTACATAGCAAATTATGTGTGATCTAGGCATACATTAAAAATCAAATTATCACTGCACATTCTAAGGTGGCATTGCTTCAAAAATATAAATCTTTACTAGGGAAAGTCTATTCCCTAGTAAAGCACCAGAGGGCAGGAAAAGAAACAGTGGATGGAAACTAATCAAGGAGAGAAGCAACTTGGGATTAGAAACTTCCTAACAGGGAGGACAATTA